TGAAAATCTATTTTTACCGGAAATATACATCATGTTTGGAATACCTACCCTATGAATTTCAGCCACATGCTATGAACTTTTGTACTTAATATAATATATATTAGTTTTCCATAGATCTTTTAAATAAATTATAAATGAATAAGGTTAATGGCAAAATTGTCTACAATTCATAAGATAGGTATTCTAAACATGCTGGAATTCATTTCCGCTAAAATTAGGTTTTTAGGTTTAAATAAACCCCTTCAAAAAATGATTTTAAGGTGAAAAAAAGTAACACATTACATTTTTGGGTAATAAATTTACTAAATGAATTTATAGGCATATAATCAAAAGATTTTCTTTTTATCTGACCATTTAGATTTTTAATCTTTATATAAAAACTTTACCCTATTTTTTATGACATAATATTTTACTATATGTTATCTATATAACAATTAAATAATAATGAAAAATATAAATTCTCATTTACCTAAGAATCCTATCCTTTCAAAAAAGGAGGTAACCTTATTTTATATATGTTTACACTGAGAAAATCAAGTTGAATAATATAAAATCTCTATTTGCATCTATAATTTTACCCAAAGAAAATAGTTTAATTATTTAATTGCCTACAATTACTCTCTCAAGAAAGGTTGTGTATTTAATTTAATTATTATCTACTAGCTTAATGGCCAGTCAAGAATGACGCAGAATCATAATTTTCTCATTTATCTGTTAATGGATGAATCAGAAATTTCCCCTTTATTGATGGATGAATCAGAAATTTTTTATCTTATGCCTTGTGATTCTGAAATTAATTGATAAGGGTTATCCTGTCCATTATTTTTATAAAATAGGTTAATGAAGTTTATATTTAGTAACTTTAATTTATGTGCACAATAAAAAATCTTTTCAACAAATTTTTATTCATTTATATTTGTAATTTATATTAAAAAAATATATACTTGTGCTAGATGAGTGTTTTAGCATAACATATTTTCGATTTAAAGTAACATCCTATTCTATATAATAATAAAGTGATAAGGAATAAAAAAAATGGTTCGGTTCTTAAGAAAAATTTATAAAGATCCGGTTCTGCTAATTGAAGGTTTTATAAAGGTTCATTGTAATTAAAAAAAAGAATTAAAATAATTTTTATTGAAATTGAAGCAACACCATCGTATATGATTTTAATTAATAATTTAATTATGAATATTATTTTCTATAACTTAAGTTAATATACTGTTTATTTATAAAAATGAAATTAATTTATTTTTATTATTAGTATCTATGAATAATATATAAAAAATATATTAATAACTCTATACAAGAATTTATTAATCTGCTTTTATCCATTTTAGCCCTGATCATAGAATTTAATGACTGCTCAAATATTATGGCTAGATTTCGATATTCATGGCAAAATAAATTAGGGAAGCTTTAATTATTTTATATAGGGATTCATGTCTTTTAGAATGATGCCTTTCCACGTGAGCTCCATGGTCACCTGTAAATAGGATTTTGCACTTACCTTTATTACAAAGTGATTCATTTAAGGGAATATTATAAGTTAAAAATGAACGGACTGGGTTAACTTTGGTGTCGACCATTCAAATTTTTTTAAAGGAAAATAAACTTTTTTTTATATATATTATCATTAAAAGCAAACAAATTTCTGAGATTCTGATATTATAAACTAATTAGCATTAACCATCAATTAGTAAAGACAATTTGGATATTATTTGATTAAAGATTTAATTCCTCACATCTGGGAAATATTATGAAAGACAGATTTGAACTAGAAGTCTGCATTGGGCGGGGTTTCGGCTCGCCCGCCCACGCATGCCCATCTAAGTGGGCGGGCGTATGGGCGGGTAAAGAATTTTTTGAGAATGGGCAGGTGGGCGGGCGGGTTTAAATGATCTATAACAATATTTCTTTTTTTATTGTATACCAATCGTTTTTTTTAAGTGAAGAACATTTACTTAACTATATTATGTAATAAACACAACAATCTTAGAATAAATAAACATTTTTGTCTATTAAAAATTTCCTTTTATGAGAATGTAATAAAACTTTTCCAGTGCTTCTTCCGAACACGGGATTAGCATTGCTGGAAGATTTTTAAAACAAAGAAGAACGTGTTTGAATCCAGAAAATGTTGATTCATTATTATTTTTGCATTATAATTACATATAATATTAATTTTACATTTATATTTTTTCATGATCAAATAAATTGTCCATAATTTACATTGATTATTTTTATACTTATATTAATTTCCTAAATTATAAACTTTTTATAGAGGTGTAATGCTGAAATATTTTTATTAGATGTTTAAAAAAATGAAAGAATGACCATAATTAAATTTTATAAGCGGGCTTGGGTTAAAATTTTTTTATAAATAATGGGCGGGCGGGTAAAAAATTTTAGACTAATGGGCGGACGGGCGGGCAGGTAAGGAATTTAGACAAATGGGCGGGGCGGGCGGGTATATATTTTTTTGAAAACTATGGGTGGGCTAGGCGGGCGGGTTAAATTTTTTTAAAAGATTGGATGGGCGGGCTTTTGGTCCAAAACCCGCCAATGCAGACCTCTAATTTGAACAACTTCACAAAAATTTGCATATTAAGACAATACAAAAACTATTTTTCATTATTAAGGCTATCAATACTAATGCTTTAAAATATCTCAAATTCCAAAATTCAATAAATAATATATAAAAATAAAATCTTATAAATTTGGTCATTTTGAAATTTATATGGGACTAATAGCCTTTCTCTCTTGGGCAGGTGGTGATATTATCCTTAAATCAGAGACCTGCAGAGGTACCATGCACGGCACAGGTCCGGGCCGGATATTTAAAAAAAAATTTCGGCCCGGCCAGGGTTTTATATTTTGAAACCCGGCCTGACTTTTTTTTTAAAAAAGAAATTTTCAGGCCCGGCCCTGATTTTTAAAAAATATATTATATATTTTTTTAATTTTTATAGCTAATAATGACGATTTAAAATTTTGGTTCTAAAATATAATTTAAAAAAAAATATATTTTCAGGCCCGTCCCAGATTTTTGGGTACATTTTAAAAAAATAAAATACGGCCTGTCCCGTGTGCCCGAGCTCGTCCTGCAGGTCTCTGAATTAGATTAATTAAATAAATGCAACTAAATCAAATATCTATAAAATTGATTATTTAATCATTTAAAGGATTGTGGATAAATTTATGTCATAGTGGAAATATGAAAACATTAGCTATACTTTTTTTTTTATTAGTTGTATAAAAAAAGGGCACTTCAAATTTTTCAGGGGGCTCGAGCCCCTGCCCTCCTCTCATGACGCTACTGCAGCTACAGTTCAGATATTTACAAAGATGTAAGGGTTTATGGGAATATTCCAGTTCACTCCGGGTTTCTGCGTTAAATTACAGTTAAAATTTTATCAAAAATGCACATTAGTTAAGTCCTTAGTTATATAACTCAGAGCTTACAAATTTTGCTTATTAATACTTCTTGAATGTAAAACCTCATTATTTTTATCTTCAAAGTTTATTGATCGAGTTCGCACTTGCCATTGATGCTACAAGTTCATTAATAAAAGGGAGTAATGTTTGACTAGGACCCTACCCCATTTATAAGATATAGTAGGAATGCAAACCTCTTCTCCAAAAAGCTGAAGGTCGCATTTAATAGATGAACAACAGTGGCGTATCCAGGATTTTCTTATGGGGGGGGGGGGAATTTTTGGGGGGGTTTCGCCCCCAAACCCCCTTAGCTGGCCTTTGGCCAGCTTTTGCCGGCCTTCGGCCGGGTCTTATGTTTTAGCTTTTCTATTAAATTATGAATAATTTAATAATAATTATATATCTTTTTTTAACTTTTATTTACTAATTTGTGCATACCGATATTACAAGCCTATTTTTTATTATTTTAAGTTAGGTATGTTATATTTAATAAAGTTTTTTTAAATGTAAAGTTGAAATAAAGTTTAATGTTATTTTATTTTAAAATTTGCTTTAAAAACTAGCCTCAGCTTAAATTCTCATACAATATAAGTAGAATAAATTTTTTTTATTGAAAATACTAATTGCACAGTGTATAAAATATTGACTAGAAAATAATTTAAAAAGCAAGTTTTTATAACTACTATCAAATACAATATTATCATATTTAAATTTTGTATATCTTCTGTTCTAAAGAAAAATGAAAAATATAAAATTAGATATTTATTAATAATTAAAATATTATTAAAAAATACTTATTAATTCTAACTCACTAACTAATAATTTTGAATTTCATATAATAAATATATTTATTAATAAATTATATACCGTTCGATTTCAATATCTTTGTCTTTGACTAAAAATTTCTCCATTTTTTATTAATATTTTTGAATAATGTTAATGTACTCACAAGGAAAGGAAATTTAAAAAAAATTTATTTATAAAAAATAAGTTTTATGTTGGAAAATTGATATTCAAATATTTGTAAAATTTAGATTATGAAGGGGGGGGGGGGGTAAAATTTTTATTAGCTTAAAATGATATTTATGAAAACAGTCAAATTTGTGATGGGGGGGACCCCCCCCATTGGTTACGCGCCTGATGAACAATAACAATGACTATCATCATCAATGCACTCAAGAAGATATTTTTCGTAATCTGACATCTAAAATAAGGTTTATCGAAATTCTGAACTGATCGAAAAATTTTACAAAATTGTAGAAAAGGAATAAAAAGTCATCGGCATAACAAATAGAAAAATTATAAATTAACCAATATTATTTTTATATTTTCAGTTACAACATGACAGCATCATATAATTGAATATGAGTAATAACGTTTAAAAAATTTAGGGTTATGTTTCACTGTTCTCAGCTTTTGTTTTTAAATACTGGAATATGATTCCGGCAAAATTAATAAATGTGAGATATAAATTCGGTATAAAGATTTTCTAAAAATTACCAAATTTGCTAAACTCCTACATTATTTAAAAAGAATATGCAAATATGATAAAATATCTAAGATTAATGTAATTAGCCATTTAATTTATTATTGAAATGAAATAATAACTATTGCATTTAATTACCAAAATGTAACTAGAATAAGCAAAGTATAAATTATTTATAGTAAATTGAGTTATAGTTTGAATAAATATTTTTTAAATTTCAATAAATTGATTTTTCTTAGGTAGGTGCCCAATTACCACATTTTGGGAATTTTAAAGGTACCCGACCCATATCTCTTTGCTCGCCGACTTTGAATAAAAGAGCCATCCCTTTCATGAAATGAAAATCCAAATGACAATGCAGCATCCAATAACCTACATTATGTATAATAGGTATAATTTATATTTTGCATATTTTATGAATGAAATTATACCAGGATTATCAGCTACAAAACGAATTATGACATAGCCTCCATTAGGAACTGCCACGGTGTCTTTTATAACAGGTGATTTTAGATCTCTTTTAAGTTTTCCATGCTGATCCAATTTCTTTACCTTTAAATAATTATGGTTACATTTTAAATGTAATTATACCTCAAAATTTTTTCGGACATATTACTGTGAAAATATTATCGCAAATGCATTTCCGCGAAGACATACCTGTAGAATATTACTTCCATCTGTGATACGGAACATATATAAACTTTTAAACAACTCTCTACCATGTTGACTATTTTTTTAAAATCACGCTAGTAGCTACCGCTGGCGTACTACTTTAACAATTCTACATCTACTCAACTTAGGGAACAGCATTACCTAATACCACACCTAACATTTCGGGTTTTATTCTATCAGGAAACTTTAGCAAATATAAAATTAGGAAGGAAACAATCTAGTATAATGTTTTTCCAATAAGCTAGTACCAATAAAACTTAAAATACAATTCATGCAAAGGCGGCCTGTGCAAAGACTTCGTTTCACATCAATAAAAATCATTATATTAATAAAGAGTTTTTAAAAGAAAGCACCCTATTTATAAATTACCCAATAAAAAACAATTGGCAAGATCTCTCTGAGATAAAGCTTTTGGATATATTATAGAAATTTTGAACAGGTAGTCCTATATTTAATTCATTAATCTTATTTTTTTTAAAGATAAACACATTCCAAGCGAATTCGCTATGAAAATCAGCACACTATATCATTTGCATTAATTACTATTCAAGGCGTACTTCTTTTTATAAAATATTGCAGCAACTACAAATTTTCAAAAGAGCCTTGAAAGTTATGGTTCAATCGACTTTTTGTGTGCCATATACTTTAGAGAAATAGGAGATAATATATTGGATGATAAATTTTGGATAAGAAAAATCGAAAGTTTTTAAAAATATACTTCAATCGTTACTGTGTCATTGTTATGAATCGTGGAAAAATGTACTTTGACCCTCGCAATAAATAACCATCTTTATCACAGTATAATATTTAATAGTAATGATCCCATATCTTCAATAGCAGCAGAAGAAAATATTAAAAAGTGCTTATAAGAAAAATCACAATACATTAGCCATTGTTACCCATTTTTTATATCACCAATGGCAAATTCTACATCTAGCTAAAAATCGCCGAAATTTGTGATATCCACAAGGTGATGATTAAGCCATTTAGTTGGTATAATAATTTTTTCATCGTAAAAGTATCTTTGATAAATAATACGTGAAATGCCGTGTAATCTATAAATTAAATAATCAGATATCAGTATTAAGTTGATGGAAGAGACTTTGTGCACTTTGCAGACAAATGTCATATCAACCCTTCCAAGTTCAATCTATTTTTCAATAGAGGTTAGTTCGATAGGGGCAATATTTAACGGGCAAATACCCCCTGGTTATAATTATTACATAATTAATACTAATAATTATAAATATTTTTTAAAATCTTTACAATAAGGAAACACATAAAATGGATCATTCAATCATTCCTAGTGCATTGTTACCCAACCTTCCTTACTACTATTGTTACAACTTAAGCAGCATACTATAAGGTATCACTTCAAAGTGCGATAAATTCAGCGTTGTGATAACTAGGGGTGGCATCAATTCGACTCAGGCCATTCGGGTTATTAAATTTAAGTTTCATTTACTTATTGTGTATTCTCATATTAACAATAGATTTAATATATATATTTTAATAATAATATAAAAGAATTTAATTTAATATCCTGATTTTTTACCACGAAAATTCATTAAATCAACCCAATAGGTGGCAATTTGGAAATGCATATGTCTCACGATCGTTACAAGTTACACTTAATTTAGAAAATAAAATTTTGGCCTGAAAATATTTTTTTACTCTAAGACTGGCACTCATTTAGATTTACTAAAAATAAACATACATTATTTTAAAAGATTCATAGCTTTATAAATATGTAAAAGGGTTCTAGTTTTAAATGAGGGTTGGTTATGGATCACTTATCCAATCATCTTTCCACCACCAAGTTTGATGGGCACGTTTAATTACAATTTGAATTGAGGCAACAAAGTGAATTATTAATTATTTTAATAAGTAAATAATGTTTATATTATTAAGCTAATTTTTCTTTTATAAAATGATCAAAAACGAATAACTCAATTTTTTTAATTCATATTTATAAATAAAAATACACTATATATTAGTGCTCTGCAGGCCTAATTATTAAAGGCCGGCCCGTCCTGAAATTTTGTTTAAAAAATTTGTTCCCCTCGGCATCTTGAACAAATTTTTTTATTTGTCCCGAAAAGTCCGATCCGAAATAAATTATTCGTTAAACATAAAAAATATTAGCGCCTTGTTTAGGATATTAAATTATATCAATTTATTTGACAAAATATAATATCATATTTAAAAATTTAAGACCGACCTTGCCCGATTTTTAAAAAAATATTAGGCTCAACCCGAACCAAAATTAAATTTTAAAATATAGACCCGGCCCGACCAGTGGTTTGCAGATCTCTACTATATATTTTTAAATAATTTAAATCTAAATGAGTATCATTCTTAAAAAAAAATTTCAGATCTAAATTATATTTATAAATTAGTTGTAACTTGTAATGATCGTTGAAAATGTACATTCCCAAATATTATTGCACACAGAGGTGGACTTGCTATAAGACCAAGTGGGCATTTTGCCAACGAAGCCACAAGAATTTTTGAGGCAGATCAAAAAAAAGAAGAAAAAGGAGGCCGATAAATATAAAATATATAAAAGTTATTTTTATTTACATTTCTTAAGGATTCTCATTTAGATCCAAGAAAGCCTATATTTAGTTTAGAAGGCGAAATTGTCATTCGACTTAATGTCGGGATTATCTATTTTAATCTTTTCGCAGATGCATTTGCGATAATTTATTTTCGAAATTATTATTTGGCAGAAATCTATATTCGCAGTAATGTATTTGAGGAAAGGCCTTTAGCTATATTGTTGTAATGTGAATAATATATACAACCCTACTATATTGATATCTGTCCACTCTTATTTTTTTTGATAGATTATTGAAATTTTTAAAATTAAAAAATAATCATGAACACTTAATTATTTTTTTTCTTCACAACCTTTATTATTATAAAATACCAATATAAAATGAACAAAATTTAATATTAATGATTAAATGATTTAAAATATGTAACTTTATTCAGATTTATCGCCCTACTATGCTAAAATATTATTATATTTGTCCAGCTATATTAAATATTATATCTACCCTGGCCATAACTGCAGCTATTCTCTGTGGCATTAAACTGTCACATATTTTGAGATATTAATTTCTATATAAACTCTTTTGTTATAAACGTTGTTTTTTAAGCTCTGGTTTGAGTAAACCCACTATATTTTCAATATCTAAAATGACAGACTGATATTATGATCCTTGCAAGGTTTTTATAGATTTAACGGTATGACAGGGAGCTCCATTTTGCTGCGAATTGTTGCTACATGTCCTAATGATAATGATTAAATTGATCGGATCAGTACTTCTTTGAGCATATTAATATCGAACAACATTTAATATATTATTTGCTAAAAAAATATCCTGGCCTTGTGTCTTCATGCGACCTCATGCCATTTAACTATCTGTACTTAAGTTTTACAGAAATCAGAGTGAAATTTTTCTGCTTTGTTTTTATAACACTATTTTGTACAGACCCAAAACTTATAACAAATTTTGATTCGTCCATGAATATTGTGTTTTCTCATTGCCCTTTTGATCGTTTACGTATTTTAAAACCCTATATTTTTCTTTCTTAACATAGTTAAATGGTTTTTTCTTAGGCTATAGAAAATAGTATTATGTAAACAAAATTTCAAATAATATTTTTCTCTTATAGAAAGAATATTCTATTGAATGTAATATTAGTTATGGAAACTTGTTTACCTATCAGTGATGCCCTCTATTCCCCATGAGCTACTGATGGTAGGGGCTCCATAGTGAGATATCCTATAGCGCAGTCACCCTTCCCTTCATAAAAATTTCAAATATTTAAACTATATATAAAATTATTAAATTTCAAAGTCAGATAATTTATATAGTAAATGGTGAGGTATAATAAATTTAATTCAATTTGCGGTATCGCCTTCATCGTCAAACACTCTATGCTAAATAATGGATAAATATCGTTATAATACATTTACAAGCAAATGACATTATTGGACTTCGTAATATTATAAATTGTTCTTGTAATTCTTTTGCACAATAGTTTGATTTATAAAAGGAACAAAGCTTTGCAATGCCATTTTTTATACACGTCTTTCCATATAACTTCTTTCCTTTGAAGTAAAATTAGGAATCTGTTTGAGTCATAAAGCTAAATACTCTACAAGTTGTATAGCCACTAATCTAATGCAACATAAAAAAACTTTCACCTTTAAAATATGATAAATATTACCGTATTGTACTAAATGTTTCGCAGAAATCGTTAAGATTTTAATAATATTTCTCTCTGGTATTGTAGTTTCTTAACATCATATACATGTCCTTTATCAATAATCCTTATTGCATTTCTTAATTCTTATACAAATTACATTGTTTACCTTGAGGAGGGAGGGGTAGGCGCCATTTATCTCCATATATCTTTCAGGGGATAGGTATTAATGTTTTTGGGGATAGGGAGTAAAAAATTAATAAAATAGAGGGGATTGGGGATAGGGAGTAAAAAATTAATAAAATAGAGGGGACGGCAAATCTGGGTGTGTTACTTCCAATTTTTTATGAATATTTTAACAAACTCTAGTAAAAACTAGCTAATACAATGAAAAATATTTAATATATTAATTAAAAATAAAAAAATTTAAACAAAGCATATTTATTATCGATTAAAGAATATAATGAAAAATAGAAGGGGTAGGTAATGTTTAAATGAAAATCTATTGTTTATTTATAAAATATATTTTAGGTAAAATAAATTTAAATTTCTTTAAAAAAATTTAAAGAAATATTTTTAATTAATATAACGTTTACAAATTATAATATATTATCAAATTCTATCAATCCTAACTTGAATGCAAACTCCCAATCCTCGTCTACTATTTAAAGATCCAAAAATGTGCAAAAATAGGAATAAAGAAAAAATCGACATAGTAAAATGTTGTCTCTACCGGAAAACAACAAATGAAAGTTAAAGACATCGCTAATTATATTAGAATGTCTATTGTGTCAGTTCATAAATGTAGACAAGATACATTTCCAGAAATAAATGGAGACGAAGGGAAAAAATGTTAGTATTCTTTGCACAATTGGAATCGGAGGAGTAATTCATTACAAAATTATAGAGGAAGCTTATAATGGTATTATTCCGAGATTTATTGATATTTTGCCACCTGATGCAATCATTCTAATGGATTTTGCATCTAATTTATAAATCCCATTTAATCGATGCCTACAAAAATAGAATTGAATACCCACCACCATATTCACCCTAGCTTAATCACATATAAATTTTTTTGGTATATTAAAAAATAAATTTCGGGCAATCACTCCTCGACCTAATTCACAAGATGAAATTATTACCAATATTATCGAACTCTTTCGTGGATTCATTCCATATGATTTTACGAACTTTTATCATATGCAACAATATCTGGAGTTGGGTCATCACGGACAGCCGGTTAATTAGGTAATCTCTAATAATGAATTTATATTAATAATTTAAATTTATACTGTTTTATATTCTAAAAAGGTATTATCTTCGAAGTCGATAAACATATGGAATGATTTTATACATAATTTTTTTATATACCTATTATTATTTTGTCTATATATTATTATAAAATAGAAATATATATCATATTTTTATCGAAATAAATTGATTTAAATAGAAAAGAAATCCTAAAAAATATTAATATTTAAAATTTCATGAAAGATATTTTATTCATAAAAAATCCCAGAAGAGTTTACAAAGAGTATTTAGAGTTTTAAAAAAAGTTAATAAATTTAAAAAAAAATTTAATTAATTTTTTTAGGGAAAATATATTTTATAAATAAACAATAGATTTTTGTTTAAAATTTAAATATTACTTGTCCCTTCTTCTTTTCATTATATCCTTTAATCGATAATAAATATATTTGTTTAAATGTTTTTTGTTTTTAATAATATATTACATATTTTTCACTATAACTGCTTATTCTCGAAATGGGCATTTTTAAAATATATTTTATAATATATTTAGAAGTGACCTACAGAGGTACCATTTGCACGGCCCGGAATTTTTTTTCAGGAATTTTTTTCGGCCCTACCCGGGTTTTGCCCGGCCTGTAAAAAAAAATTTCAATCCCTCTCGAGATTTTTTTAAAAATATTATATTTATTTTTAATTTTTATAGTTAATAAATGGGAATTAAAAATATTTGGTCTTAAAATAAATGGCCCGGCACGGGTATTTTTTTAAAAACATTTTTAGGCCCGGCCCGAAGAAAATTTATCCTGAGTAAATTAAAATATTGGCCGGCTCAGCCTGCAGGTCTCTGATATATATAGAAATAATTTATAAATCAAAAATATTTTGGCTCGACTTTGTATTTTTTACAGCTATAACTTCATATGTTTACTTAATATCTTCGAGATTTAGGATTGAATACAGGTTTACCAGGTCAAAATCTTTTTTGAAGGAGAAATTTAAAATTCTGGAAATTTTTTTAGCAGCGGCCTGATATAAAAATGCTCTTTTCGCTCCCCCATTTATTCCTTTAATTTTTACTTTATCGTACTTAACAAAGTTGGTATCATTTTATAATATTTTCCCCAATAGTTAATATTTTATTCTTAATTTTAAATTTTAATTTCTAGTTATTCCCAAAATTTTATAAAAATATATTAATTTTAAACAAAAACAATTATTTTCCAACTGATTCTCAAAATTATTATTTATAAGTCATAAATTTAAAATTCTAAAAAATTCAATGCGGAAGAAATTTTAAAATAGCGGGAGATTCTGCCAGAGTTTTGAAGGTGGGGTCTCTGCTTGTTGACTAAATATAGGAGTCTCTCGCTGATGAGGGGATGCCTGACAACCCTGCTTGAATGTTTTTTAATGACTTTAACATTTATTATAAATATAATATAATCAGTGGGGGGGGGGGGGGTAGTATATAAATGTATATTTAAAAAAATAAGGGATAGGGGATGCTTCAAATTTATGATGCCATTGATTCATGTAATCTCTTAATAAAATATTGCCTCATATACCCACCTTTATATAAGGCACAATTGCAGAAATCTCATCAAATCATATGTTTAAAAAAGAAGATATGTAAATTTTTTAAAATAATTTTTCCCTAGAATCCTTTCATCTTTTGAATTATTTATTTTAAAAGTCCTCTATTCTGAGTAGGCTCAAAACCCCTGATATTACATTTCTGTAGTACATCTAGATCGAAGTATGGCTAATGGATGTGCTAACTGTCTTTCAGAATTTCCTCGGCAGTTATATGAGTTAATAGTGTTCTCACAGACAGTCCCTTGGCAGTTTCGGCTAAACTTAGCATCCAATTATTTTTTTAGTGGATTATAAAAAAATAACATAAATCTCCCCAACTGAAACTTCCTATCACGTGCCAGCTCAAAATGTGGATATTTATGGTCTTATACCCATATAAAGAAAATAAAATTTGAATAAAAATTAATTTATAAATAAATTTTTACATTACTAGCTTAATATCATAATATATCTACGTTTTTAATTTATTTTTAATAGATTAATAATTATTTTCAAATTCGAAAATTAATCTAAGTTAAAAATGATAGGTGGTCAGGTATCAATGAGGTAGGGTAGTTTAATATAAAGTCTTATATATTTTACCTCGTGAACCGAGATGTTGGTTGCCAACTTTTCTTGGGCTAATAATCTAAAAGAATAACCATGCAAATGTATAGAATGGATATCGTAATCCCCGTTTAAGCCTAAATAATAATTGGAAATTTATATCTATTTCATAAAAACCTTCGTCAACGATAATTAATTCCACCAGTGAATTTAATTTTATGTTGTATAAATGGGTACAAGAACACATTATATGGTTACACTCTGGCCGAGAATCAATATTACAAATTTCATTTTTCGGTACATCCAACGGTTGGGATAATAGAGGAGCAGAGGGTGGCTTGAAAGATATATTGTCGAACATTGGAATATCTATTACAGACAAATGATTTATAATCCAATAATGATCGATGATCGTATTTAAAATTTTATTTACCTTCTCCTAATAAATAACTGTCGGTAAACAAGTATAGTTTGACATCTGGTGTCCCATAAATTGGTTTTAAAGATACTTCCTTCATGCTCTTAAAATTTGTTATTGGAAGTTGATTAATTGAGTGTCCAAAATTTTTAAAATGGACAGGATTCGCTATCTTATAAAATAAAAATATCCTATATATTTTAGCATGCTTACTATTTTGTTATGGTAATGATAATCTCCAGTTTTAAATTCTTTATGAATTTGTTGTAACATCCGATCTGATTTAAATATTTCGTTTTTTATAACTTTTAGTGTATCAGATTCAGAAAAATGTTTATTTGGTGCATAAATTATATATGCTGAAGCGTTTGCCACCATATTTCCATGATCACAATCTCCGGAACTCCAAATCCTCATTTCGTAGAATGTTTTTCTAAAGTTATTATAACTAAAAAAAGTATTTGACCTCAACGGTTCTTTATAAGTGTTATTTAAGAGAATTAAGGTGTCTAGTTCTTTTTCATATTTTAAATAATCTTCTTTAAGCAAAATTTTGACATCGTATCTCTCCCCAGGAAATATGGTAAGAATATCGATGGCATGATATGGTTTATCTATTGGGTATCCATCTATGTCAACTATAATCATAAAATGATCTTGAATAACTATTTCTATTGGACAATACAAGAAACCGTTACTTATAAATCTGACATAAGGTAAGGTATCAAAAAACAAATCATTCGGGTCTGTATCGTATTGTTTAACTAAGAAATAACTTGGGGGTGAAAGAGGAAATACACCCTGCCTTCCATTTATTAGTAGCGACGGAGCAGACTCATCATCTTTTATAAAGTGAAAAGGGGAGAGTGAATTTTTCCATTCCTGAATTATTACGATTATCTCGTTTATATTATTAAAACCTGTAGAACCCTTGTAAGTTTTATAAGCATGAGTAGGAATAGGATTAACAATCAAGCTTCCAACAATCCCGTCTACTCTGTGTAGGGCTGTGTGGGCATGCCAAAATTTGGTGCCAGCAGGTTGTGCTTTCCATACATATTGGAATGTCGATCCACCTATTATAGGACATTGGGTTACCATAGGTGTCCCATCCATATAAGGAGTCTTTATTTGATATACCCCATGCCAATGAATGGTTATGGCTTCTCCGTTGATCAACATGTTCTTAACGTTAACCTTGACTATATCATTTTCGCATACCTAATTTAAAAACAATACTTGATTATTTATTGTAAAATATTGTTTTTAATAATTTAATTAAAAATTAAATTTAGAAAGAAAAATTAGAGTGTTTTAAACATTGGTATAACTACTTTAATTTCTGGACCAGGAAATTTTTCATTGACTAAAAAAATAGGTCTTTCAGTTCCATCGGCAACTATGCAAAACTCTTTATAACAATCTTTGATGATAAAAGGACACTTTCCGCACACATTTTCTGCCATGGTCCTTGAAAAAGTTATTCGAAATTCAAAATCACACACTTTTATCTTACCATCGCAAAATCGATCACATGAATGTTTTGAAATAACACCTTATAATTTGTCCAATTTAATTTATTAATCCATCATTTTAATTTATATTACTTGATAAAGATGTAAAGAATTCAGATCCCAGGATCGTTAAGATCAATGTAATTATAATCGAAAACATTTAAATTTATTTAGGACCCCCTTTGTATCTATATTTCATAAAAAATAGTTAAATTATTTATTATACAATATAATATTTATTTATTTATATAATAAATAATGTAAATTAGAATCTTGAAATTTATTATATCTACAAATCATTTAGAAACAGACCCTAACATAAAAATTAAAGATATACATTATTTAAATATGTTTCTATTAAAGAAACCGAACTGTCAAGTTTTCTGGGTTTGGAGTGGCCATTCAACTTCTGGAATTAGTTCTGGGAGTTTTTTCATTGTAATCGGCTTGGCTCAGTCCAGGCCGGTAGAAAATTATAGATTTTCTTTTATTAATTATTAAATTAAATAAAAAAAATTAAGAAGTTTTCTATTCTAATTCTATTCATACACAAATCTATGCTCACTTTCATTTAGACTTTCCAATCTCACTTTTTGTTGACATATTTACTCTTAAAATATGCTTATCAATGACATTAAATCTACAAATGTAAGTTTATATTATGAGAAAATGTTTAAATTCTAAGTTTATAATCTAGAGGAAATCCACCTCAATGTTAAACATTTAAAAAAATAAAATCTATGTTTATCTTTAGGTATAATAGATTCTATTGTTTATCTCTACTGACGTAAAGATTATATAGTTATTCAAACAAATTCAGTTCCTATTTTCCAAAGCAGGTGACTTAATAACAATAAAGAAAAATAAACTATCTCATTTGTATTGGGTCATGGCTTAAAAATGGAATGTCTAATAAAGAAGATTTTAAATCTAATCTTAAAAGGAAAACTGATCTTATTATTCAATAATATGAATATATTTATAGTTAATGTTGTGTGATTGTTATCATATTTAACTATTTTTATATTTGCAAATTTTATACCTGTAATATCCAAAACTATAAAAAAAAGGCAGTTTTGTTTAGTTATATCGAGGGTCAGAACTTAGAAAATCGCCTCCAAACCGAACTGTGACCTTCTTTATCAAGCATTATAAACAATAAAAAATGCGAAAATTCTAGTAGTGTTCTAAAATAAGGCAATTCATCAAGAAGCTTACAACAATAAAATAGTTTTTAATATAAAATAAGAGATATCAAAATATAAAGAACTTACATGTTTTTAACAGAATTTACGTTTTGCAAAATTTATTTCTTCCACATTATCGAAAATTTGTCCTAACAACTATGAATCTCGAAATTTAAAAAAACAATTAACAAACGGATTCTTTGTCAAGACTCATAAACAATGTCCTATTGTTTTTTAATATTAAATAAAAATTAACAAAACTTTTTTCTATCCTGACATAAAATTGGCAATAGAATGCTTTATTTAATTTCGCGCTTACTCGCGATTATAATAAACAAGCTTATCTAATCATGTTACCAATTATTTTAGTTTCTTTTATTATATACTATAGGATATGATTTTTGATGAATATTCTAGGTAAACATAAAATTATTATAAAATAATTACAGAAAGAAATATAAATCCTTGCTAAATATTATTTTATAAATGACTGATATAGCCATAATTCATTGATTTAAATAAAATTTAATCACTGTTATATTTATTTTCTTCCATTTGTACATTGGCTCCATTATATTCTATTCTTCTATGTTACTTAGGGTTCCATTAGAAATAAATAACACCTGTATTGTACTTAGTTTCCTTAATGTCCTCGAGATGTAGCATTCGAACAAAAGGGTTAACATAAGAAAAATAAAATTTTATTATTCATATTTCAAATATTTATCAGAGTTACGAACCTTTTGATATACTTCATGTTAAAGAGGAAAAAGTATAAAGGTTCAGGTTAAGGAATAAACATATATCTCTATAAATAATATCCTATTTTAAGATAAATATATAGGAATAAAAATAAAACACAGTTTAAAGCTAACTCAAAATTTTATTGTCATTTTTTATTTGTATATAAAATGATGATTACAGCGTATAGTTAAAATATCATCCAATATATCTCAATCTTGTTCTCTAGGGTGATAGACGACTACATTTCAATCCTGAAAATGTACTCTCGATCGAGGCTTGTTTAGAGACATTAGAGATCTTCAAAGGTCAGATCGTCTGAAAGTCCGACTGAGCTGAGCCAATCAAATAATTTGACGGATCGGGTCATGCCGGGCAATTCGTACATAAATATATAAATGGACCAAGATAAACAGTTTATACAAAATCGGGCCAGGCCATGCAAACTTCTGATTTTTCATAAAATTTTAATGGGCCAACCAGGCATTAATTTTAATATTTTTTTTGAATTTTGAGCTAATAAATTGATTATTACTATTTTAAATACTATATTTTTTCTATATAGCTTAAGAGCTGATACCTAAAATACTAATCTATAAATAAAATAGTAAATTCACAAAGAATTAAACAAGTTAATTATGTAAAGATATCAAAACACAAGATTTATAAAATGGTTCTTTTAGAAATATATAGCCATAGAATAGAGAAATAAAAGCTTCAAATGATATTGGGAAAAATTATATAGATATATAGATATTAAAAGTGTTAGCCGAAAAAACGGTTCGGGCCGCGCCTAATTTTTTTAAAATTTTAATATGCCGATCTGAGAATAGTAAAAAGTATAATCAGCCGGACAATAATGCTTCCATATCTTTGGATGATTTTACTCTTAAGGCATGATATCATAGTTTGTATTTAGTTCGTAATTCGGTTACTTTTTTTGTGACTGGGGAAATTGATTAAAGAATTAATAAGTGCGACATTAAATATTAACACAAACCAGATAGTTATAACTTCTATATTATCCGTTCTGGCATGAAACTAATTTTGTCAATTTTTCTATTTTACCAATAATTCTTTTTCTTTTTGAACCATCTACCGAAAAGAATAAAACAATAAAATGCTCTACTTAATAGTTTATATAAGTTTAGGATTTTTCCAAAAACTTGCCTAACTTCACTCTTAAAGAGTGAAGCCCTAGTTTTTATTTTGTTTATAACAGTTTCTTTCTATGGTTCTTCAATTTGATTGAGTAATTAAAAATACTAGTCATACACTAAATATTAGCGCAGGTCAGATATATAGTTTTTTTGAAATATTTTCAATTCTAGCATAATGCCATTTTTTTTCTTTCTACTGTCTACCAAACGGATTAAATTAATTTACAATTGAGAACTAAACATTGATCAAATTTCCAGAATAATGCTTTCAGCCGCTTTTTTATCGTAAGGTTAGCCAAAACTTTGCTACTAAAAATTTTTCCATTTATGCTGGGGACTATACTGGTTAGACACTAATAAAGCACAAAACGTTGGCATATTTTAGAATTAGTATTTCTAATTGTTCAGCCAATTTTAACGGAGTTGATATATAGATAACCATGAAAAGTAAATAATAATAATATTTTTTACAAGAGAAACCCGGCTAAATTTGGAAGCGAAGATCCCCCCCCCCCAAAAAAAAAAATTTCCCTTTTTTTTTACAAAACCTATTTATAGATTTTTCATTATATAAAAAGTATCTACTATTATTTAGCAAAAAATACAAATATCTTAGATCTTGTATGTTTTTATATTTGCAATAAGATACTAGTATCTGTACTAAGATCCGTTTTTTTACAAAGAATCAATATCTAAATCTTTATTTGAGGATCTGCCTAACTTTATTTAGTTCTTAATAGATTTGATAAAATTAGTCAAATTAATTAAATTGGTGTTGCAAATAACAACAAGAATGATAAATGAAAACCTGTTTAAAACAAGATATGTCGGTTTAAAGATTTTATTAAACAGAATTAAAAATTATTTCCAAAATAAGATACGAATTACGATGGGGGTTTGAATCAATTGTATATGTGCATTTATTTTTACATTTAGATTTTAATCATCATGCCAATAGTACACTTAATGAAGTCGTTTAATTTTCAAGTGAAAGGCTTATAACTATCTAGATCCCCCTATACCTTTATGCCAATGATGTTGACGCTTCCCTGGTGACAGTGCCTAGACAAGGGGGGGGGGGGAATCATAACTCTGGGAAAAAAATTTTTTTTTTGATTTAAAATTTTTATTTTTTAATTTTTATTTTTTAAATTTTTTTTTGTATTGTGAATAATTTCATTTAAAAAACGGTTTTAATTTAGAAATAAAATAATATATACGATATCAATGAAATATATTTTAAAAAGACAAATAAGAATTTTTAATTTTAAATGATAACATGATTTAAAAATATATATTAAAAATTATATGAACTAAAATATTTACCATCTCAATTTTTGTGAGATATCGGATGCTTTAAAAGCCATCTATGAATCAAAAGACATCAATATCTAATGTATTAAAAAAAATTTTGATATTGTTACAACCAACAGAGCAAGAAATTATAATAATTGATGCAATCATTTGGTTAGGGAGGCAGGGCTTATCATTAAGAGCTCATAGAATATCTGCTGGCTTCTTAACACTTACATACTCTTCTCATAATGAAGGGAATTTCAAGGAATTGTTGAAACTTTTATGCAATAATAATGATAACAATATAAGACTGAAAGCTCTTCTAAAAATGCCACCTACCTTAGTCCAATCAAAATGAAATAATAGCCATATGCAATAGGTTCATATTGAAAGAAATTTCTACAGTGAAAACATCACCATATTTTGTGTTTTGGCGGATGAGACTTCGGATGTTGGTAACATAGAGCAATTATCCATAGCAGTAAGGTTTATTGATATGGAATCAAGTGATTTCAAAATGAAAGAACTCTTTGTTCAATTTATTAACTAACATACATAACACTAAATCAAAGACGATAGCCAAAGAAAGTTTAGCATCCCTTCAAGACCTAGATATAAATTTAAATCTAATGAGAGGCCAAGGATATGATGAAGCTTCCTCGATGAGTGGTCACGTTAAAGGGGTGCAGTCAAGAATTAGAGAGCTTTATAGCACAGCTCTATATGTTCACTGTTCACATTGCCTAAATTTGATGATATATGAGGCATGCAAAATTCGAAACATCCGGAACAGTTTACGTAAAAATATTTTAATTCAATTGGAATTTATTAGATTTTATTATGTATTATTAAGAAGCAGCTTTTTATCCGAACATTTGATGATATTGATTCAAATAATCAAAAAAAAACTAAAAAGATTTTGTCCAACTAGATTATTGAAAGACAACAATCAGTAAGACATTTCATCAAATTATATGAAATTATTTTTGTAGCGCTAAGCAAAGAAAAAAATTCCGTAGATGCTGAAAATCTTTTGCTAGCTATTACGAAGCCACAATTTTTAATATCAATTCAATGTGTACATTTTTTTATTTAATTATACATATGATTTTAGCAAAATGCTACAAAAAATTGATTTGGATTTAAGGGAGGTTATGAATAAGGCAGAGGATATTGTTGAAATATTAACAAATATCAGAGATAATGTGGATAAAAATTTCATGAAATATACGAGAAAGTAAAGGAGATCCCTAATATGTTTGTGATTGAAATTTTTAAACCTAGAGTAGTTTCTAGACAGTCCAATCGCTTAAATATTGATGCATCTACGATTGAGGATTTTTATAAAATAAATATTTTTACTCCCCTTATTGATACACTTTTATTTCAATTAAAGGAAAGATAAATTAGTCACAATTTTATTTTAAAAAGCTTTTATTTTCTTCGGCCGGTTGAGTCTTAATTGTTGATTACACTTGAAACGCGAGAAGATATTAAGAAAATCTCAGAGTTTTCTGATGATTTATCAGGATCGTATGATAAGTTATTTTGTGATATCGATGGTATAAAAATCTTGATAGAATAGAATACTCTTTGAGACCAAAAAATGATTTGCAGGCTCTTTCCATGTGTAATTGCTCTTTAGATTCCCTGCTTATTTTTAATAAAAGTATTGCATTCATTTACAATAAGAATTATTTATATTTTGATTCATTTGTATTAATTATAATTGCTAAATTATATTTTTTTAAATACAGTACAAGAATTACTTATATTTAATTGAATTATATTTTTTTAAATATAGTTAATTACAATAAATTTTTAATATAATAATAATTTGTATAAAATTTCCACATTTTGAAATTTATTTTATTGTATATTATCAATCATTAAAATAAATGCATAGTTAAATAAAGGGATGTTATTTATACTAAAGTATTTTAATAATAAATAAAATCTACATATTTTCTAAAATATTAAAATAGTTATTTTTAACACTCAAT